GGGGTCCAAGCCAGTGTGGAAGTGAGGGGATTCTTACCGATTTTCTTCCTCCAGGGGTGCTCCTGTCGATTTTACCATGGGAAAGGGCAATCTAGACTTTTCAGGTGCTCAGCAATAAGAGGGTATGGGTGCTGCTGTCATGGCAAGCTGGCCTTTTCAAAGGAACCCAGTGACTTTCCAAAACTCTGTTGCTTGGGAGAAAATTATGGAGTTTCTTAGGGAAAAGGAGGGAGAAGATCTGCTGCACTGATCCCCCATACACACGATTATGCCTATTTCGCAGGGCAGCCAGTCTTCACCTGGGAACCACACAACACAGTTCGGTGGTAGTGGGGAACTGACTGGCTTGAAGTGAGAGAGAAGGTTCATGACTATAAATCAGATGGTGCATTGGTGGGGAACCTTAGCACCATTGCTGATAGACAAGCTTGGATAATAGGCTCAGGAGCTATGGGGCACATACATAACTGGCCTGGATGGGACTACGAATGAGAAACAAGGGACTCCCAATCTCATAGACTTTAAGGTCAGAAGGGACCATTATGATCATCTAGTCTGACCTCCCGCATGATGCAGGCCACAAAAGCTGACCCATCCACTCCTGGAATAATTCTCTCCCTTGACTCAGCTGTTGAAGTCCCCAAATCATGATTTAAAGACTTCAAGTTGCAGAGAATCCTACAGCAAGCGACCCCTGCCCCATGCTGCGGAGGAAGGCGAAAAACCTCCAGGGCCTCTGCCAATCTACCCTGGAGGAAAATTCCTTCCTGACCCCAAATATGGTGATCAGCAGAACCCCGAGCACGTAGGCAAGATTCTCCAGCCAGACCATCATTGACCATTGTTACTAATTACCAGCGATGGCACGTTATTGACCTATTGACTAAAATCACGTTATCCCATCAAACCATCCCCTCCATAAACTTATCAAGCTTAATCTTAAAGCCAGAGAGGTCTTTCGCCCCCACTGTTTCCCTCGGAAGGCTGTTCCAGAACTTCACCCCTCTGATGGTTAGAAACCTTCGTCTAATTTCAAACCTAAACTTCCCGACGGCCAGTTTATATCCATTTGTTCTCGTGTCCACATTAGTACTGAGCTGAAATAATTCCTCTCCCTCCCTGGTATTTATCCCTCTGATATATTTAAAGAGAGCAATCATATCCCCCCTCAGCCTTCTTTTGGTTAGGGTAAACAAACCGAGCTTCTCGAGTCTCCTTTCATACGACAGGTTTTCCATTCCTCGGATCATCCTAGTGGCCCTTCTTTGTACCAATCTGAGTGATGTCTTCTCTATTTTAAATGTGGATTTTGTGATCGACCCACCACTGCATCATACAAGACTGGGGTAGACAAGTGTACAAAACCAAATCTTTATTAAAGCAGTCATAGGCAAATCAGTGGTTTAAGTCCACTGAAACTTGCCACTTATGCAGAGTAGACTCAAGAAGCTAACTGGATGAAGACATAGGACTCTTTGATAGTTGTTTGTGATTTCATCTATCTACTTATATGGCCCTCACCACCATGGTAGCTGAAAGACTCCTTTGAAGGCTTCCCTCCAGCAGTTAGTTTTAAAAAAATATATAAAGATATTAATGTACGTAGTTTCTAATATCATCTAGAATGTACAGGTGGAGGTCAGGTGAAACAGAAATTCAACAATGTAATTCACAGATAACCTGTTCAACTGCTGTTAATTCCAGGGCATTTGAGATAAACCCTGAAATAACGTGTGCATATTTGCATTCCAAGGTTGGCGGTGGGAAGGACACTGTTTTACATGTTATTAGTTAATTCTTCCATTCACTTGGACTCTCAAATCTTTAAATAAAACAGCTATATACAATAAAGCTTGCATGTTCTGAAGTCATGTAAGCATGCATATGTATATACTATACATGGCATGTGTTTATTCTAACACAGTCAACTAACATAATATCTGCTTGGCTGGTTGCATTATTTTTAAGACCCCCCCCTTTACCTCCTGCAATTGCTGTTCTTGCCCAAGTATATAATGATTAATGTGTCCTTCAGCAAATGCGATCGGATCTGTCTGATTGTATTAGTTCCTGTTCATTGGCGTTACTGAGCATCAATCACGTTTTAATCAGAGCTTGTGTACATTGACTTTTTTGTAAACAGCCTCAACAATGGGGCTCACTGTGATCCTGAATTAAGTCCTTAATGGCAACGAAAACTAACTAAAAAGAAGACAACTTTCATATATAATCATGCTTTTAATTTTTGAATGCAACCATGTCTGTTTCTAATGTGCCACTTAACCTGTTAAATACCCTAAAACTAGATTAGCATTTTTAAAGAAAATGCCATCCTTATATTTGTAATCATTTTTATTAACGCAAATATCGTTATGGGACTCCCCTTAAAGTCCCCAGGTGCTAATAGGCCTGTCTTCCCTTTTGCAAAAAGCTGTATTTAAAATATATATATTAACATATCAGATCATCTATCTTAATATTAATGTGTATTTTTTAAAAAGATGGGAACTCTTCCTTAAAATACACCAGTACAGAATCCATATATTGTGTACTGAAATAACAAAATAATTGCCACTTATACGAGCAAGATCACATCTCCTTGTTCAGAAGTGTCAATGCAAGTGTCACCTAATGATGAAAATTGGTTGTGATGTATTTAACTCTCGTTCAGACTGTTAAGAGGACGTGTACTAAGTTTAGAAAAGAAAAACAAAAATAAATTAAAATAAAATGAATGTTGTCTTTTGTCAAATGTCTGACCAAAAGTTGTGCTCGCTGGTTTCTTAAGATCATGCCAGGTATCCCATCCATTTTAATAAGCAGTGTTTAGTGATGGATTCAGAATTGTGCAAGATTAACTATCCTCCCACATATAAACAGTGTGATAAAGTAAGCCTTTAAAAATGGAATGCTCCCACTTAACGAGGACCGGTTGATTTCATACTATGTTGACCTTTCTGATCTTTCAAGTGAGAATTAGACTGAAACAATTACTCTCATTTTAAACCCAATATTGAATAATTCTTGTATTATTAACATGTAGCTATCCAGATACTTTGAGGATGAGAACATTTTTGTTCAGCTACTGAAGGAAGTACCTGAGAGTGCAAATGCATGGCTGCCTACAAGCATAATGTCTTAGAGCTCCCATTTAAGGATGGATGAAATGGTTTTGAAGATATTAGGAGACTCCTGAAGCTTTGTGATGGTTTTGAAATGTCTGATTAACTCCCCTATCCTGCCCATACTCACACTTTTTTGCAGTTCTGCACTCCCAGGTTCTGGCTGGGATATGTGTCAATATTCCCCCCAAAAGGCTATTCAGGTGGTCTTTCCATCCTGACTGGAAGCAAGTAGTACTAGGACTCTCATGAGAGACTGCTGTTCTGAGGTTTCTATCTACTCTCTGCAGGTTCAAGAGGTTCAGAGAAGTACCCAAAACTCTGGATGCTTAGCTAAAGCTGAGCCAATCCTAATTTTCAAACATCTTGAGTCATGCCCACCACCAGCAGTCTTCTCTAGGACTGGTTAGCGCTGGCCCAAGATGTGACACCTTGGGTGTAGGCTAAGACACTGTGGAGGATTTTACCTCAATGTGGTCACTGGCTAGTAGTCCATAAAATAGAAGAATTTACACAATGCTGAAACGTAGCTAATTCCCAGTATAAAATAAATTAAACTCAGGTAGAATATCCCAAAGGCAATGGTCTTGTAGCTTCAGTTGACTGAGTCACTTAAAACTAGGCTGGATGAAGTACTTGGGAATATGCTATAGGAAATGTTTTTACATTAACAGGATGACCCAGTAAGTCTTTCCTGTTTCTAATTTCCATGATACTCTGGGGAATTCTATGAATTACATGAGTCGGTATATCTGTGGAATTGTGAAACATCTGCACACCTATTGGGCTAAAGAAAGGTACTTTATAGCTAGAGAAGGAACCATCAACTCAGTAGAGCAGTTCCAGGTCAGAGATTACAGAGGAATATAGTTTTCTCTGCATGAAGAATATGGTGGAAGGTTGTAGCACCTCAGTAAGGAGAGAACCTCTCTCCCTGGAGGAAAATAGGAACTGAGCAAAGGCAACTATAGTCCAAAGAAAAGAATGTATCTAACAACATTATAAAGCATGATTTTGTATCTCTATGTGTGTTATGAGATAGAAACTCGGACCCATTTTTAGATGTATGAGGGGATGCATTTCGCTTGTATGGGTCGCATGCTCTATTATGTGTCACATACTCTACTCAGTCCTCACAGGGACCTGCCATTCATGTCAATGGGAATGCTGTGCAAGGAGTGAGAGCAGTATCTGACAACTAGGTGGTTCCTAGAAAAGGTAATCTTATCCTTGTTGTTATGAAGGAGACAGTGGTATTAATTATATTTACTTGGTATATCATAATACAGAGATGAGTTATAACTTTATGGGACAAATCCTGCTCTGTTCTACCAGAATGAAGCTAAAGCCTAAGAAATAAATGAATAGAATTTGGTCCTATATCTATAGCTCCTCCACACACACAAATTGCATGACATTAGAAGAATGCTTCACAAACGGTGACCAGTGGTCTGCAAAGCACTGACTGGCTCATCCTCCCTCCTTATTTTCAGCTGCTAGATTGGATTTACAAGGAAGCTACTTTGTTAACTTGCCTGAGCATGAGCTTCCTTAGCAAAACCCCCATGCAGGTGGGTTGTGAAAATGTTTTTTTAGTAAGTCCTGTTTTCTTTTTATTCTTTCAGCCCATTTTGGTGCTTTTGGTGGAAATGAGTGGAATTTGATTTTCTCCCAGTGGCCGTGTGCGGAGAATAATGATTCTTAAATTGTGGCTGAGTGGGTGAAAAGGTACAACAGCAGTAAAAGACTGGACACTGATATGGAGAAATGTAACTTGATATGTACAATAACCACAAGTTACAGATTTATTGATTATACTCCATCCTATGGCAGCCCCTCAGTGAAATTAAAATAGTGATGAACATAAGGATGGGTTACCTGTCTGATCCATTCCATGCACATTCAAACTTGTCAAAGATGCAGTCATTTTCATAAAGGGAACACAGCTTGCTCCTAAGGTAATCATGGACCTGTTTAGCAGAAAAAGACAGTGCAGTTTTTACAAATCTTTGTTTTAGAATATGTCCTATACTATTGCTCTTACAGGTTTGTAGATTTTACAAAGATAGAGAGTACTTCTGTCTCTTAAACATGAGGTCTGTGCTTTTCTATAGTTCAATTAGAAGAGTGCTATAGAATTAATGTAGCAGGAAAGCTCTGGCTAGAGCATGCTCTTCTGAGCATACTGTAGATTACCTCTCTCAAACATGGTTGGTTCCTGTTAGTGTGAATTTCTGAACTCTAGCCTGATTCCAAAACAGATCTTCCCAGCTGATACAGCAGATGTGCTAATGAGAGAATGAATCATCTAATTTAAATAGTAAATAATAAAAATCCAAGATCTATATAGACTTCCACTTACAATATAGGGCTGTGTGAGAGAGGTCCCTGCTCCATTTATAAAAGCTGTGGTGTTACATTATACAGCAATTCAGAAGTAAAGGATAGTAAGATATGTGGTGTCTTATTTACATAGACTAGTACCCAGAATGCTCTCCTGCTCAGAATGCTCTCCCGCTCTGATAGCTCCGTCCTATCAGTGATGATGTCTGAGATCTGAAAACAAACCATGAGTTCTTATCTTGCATGCTTTGAAAGTAAGATTCACAGAAGACCTTGTTTTAGGCTGCATACTTCTATGGAGTGTGAGTTTATCATACAGGACACAACTCATGTGCATTGCATCGGTCCTTTAATGAATTCAATTTTTTCCTTCTGTACGATGTTCTTCACCCCCACATTGAAATAAGGAGTCAGACAATTCCTGCCTGCACAAGGCCTAGTAATCCAACACCTCCATCCGATATGAATGTTGTATAGATGACTTCTGAGGAAGAACCATATCAATGCAATGTAGCATAAGGACCAAATTTAGTCCTGCCATAAGAAGGTACCCCTTCCATTGAAGTTCATGAAAAGTACGTCTGTTTCTGTCAGAGCTAAATTTGGTTCTCCTGACTGTGGGGTTCTCAGCACATGTGCAGGATCCTCTGCTGGTCGAAGGCCTAGAATCTTCTCCAACAAGATACTTTAATACCAGTTTCACTGTTCTGTCTGGCTAGTTCACTCAAGTGTTATTAAAACTAGAACTGTTTGCAACAGCTGCACTGTACTGTAATGAACAAACTTGCAAATTAACTCAATTTTGTATGGGCTATAAATTTCTGTCATGGATCAATTTTCAGAATTAGATTAATGAGCATCCTATGCTATATATGATCAAAGTATGTCAGCTGAACACGCTATTTACTTAATAGCTAATAAACATGTGGGAGATGTGGATAGAATGTTTCCCAGTTAAATGCATTTACTGAACGTTGCACATTGTGGTGCACATTCATGTTGGGTGCTTCATGTAACCTTCATAATGAGATCATTCCATCTTCCCTTTATTGATAGCCACCAGATTTTTTTCAGCAGAAATTGGCTGGGTTCCCTAATTGTCACTCATATCTGAGGCGACAATCATTGTCTCATTTGTTAATATTTTTAAATGTATTACAGGATTGGGACTATTTGTGTTAATAGTGTTTATTGTGTTAATTTGTGTTATAGGAGTGGGGCCTTTTCATCAGTATCCTGATTGCCTCGCACAAAAATCAACACATGGAAGAAACTGACAAAAGAGGATGGGGCAGGATGAGAGGATGAAGCAGCAGTAAAATTGTATACATAGTATTCAGTGGTCTCAGATCTCCACCTGCCTAGCTATTTTCATCTTTTCATGCTCTTTTTTCTGCTATCTGTTCCATGTGCCACCTGTCCATTGTGACTAATGCTCCCTTTGAAAAGTGTGTTCAGCTCTACAACTTTTAATAAGCTATGCAGTGCTTTGTGTTTCCTCCACTTTCATTCTTCCTTCTGAATTTCAGAAGTTCTTAACTCCTCGTTATCAAGGTACTGATGCTCTATCCACAGGCTTTCACAAATGCCAGTGCTCATTTGTCAGCTCTTCATTCCGACGTTTCTTTTCACTCTTGCTCACACTGATACCCTCCAGGATAACTGTGAGAATCTTCGTGGTTAAAAATTTGAACATCTGTCCTGTTTTTCCATTGTCATCTCCCACTCATGGAATGTTGAACTGTCCTAAAGATGAGGTTATCAAATCAGCATCCATTGCATCAGTAAATTAAACAATGTACCAGAGGCAACCATGCACCAACATTACCAAGATCACTGCTGTGCTGGCCTCTGTAAAGGCAGCACAGCAGTCGTGCGGATGATTCCAGATGATGACTTCATCCCTCCCTGCACCAGTCAGCAGAGCGGTTGTGGAAGGGAGCACACATAGCTACCTCCTTAAGAGTGGCACGGGGTGGCTTTCCCTGGAAACTCTTGGAAGCTCCACATCACCTCCGTGGTAGCTCAGTGCTACAATTTTGCCCTGTATTTCCTACCCTCGATGCAATGGATTGATGTGACTGACCATTTAGAAACACGGTTTCAATGGGATAATCTGTGGCCAGTGGCATTGCAAGAAAACACATTTAAAAAAAAAGTCTAAGACCACAAGCAATAAAAGTACTTTTGTTTGTACACTTAGGTTTTTTATTATTAATAATTATTATTAATTATGATAAAATTGATCTACTGCTTAATGAATTCTGGAGGTAAAGCCCACACTATCATGGTTTGATGATAAAACTGGATTTTATTGTCCAAGTATTGCTCGTATGTGTTATCTCGCCATCTATGAAAAATGTTCCAATTTCCATAAAAGCTGTTGTTAAAGATTTGCTACCAGAATTTTCCTTTCTGGAATCATGCTCCTCTGTTATGTAAGCCCTTGACAGAATTATCCAGACATTCTACGCTCTAGGGAAACACTAGGGAGCTATTTTGTTGGAACAAATTATTTCAGGCAGGGACTGTCATGACAAAAGGCACATTAGTCTGAATTATTGTCATGCCCACTTTGGGATCACACTGATACTAACCACAAACATGGACAAGTTTGGTTGTTGCTAACAGAGGTCTGTATTATTCTGACCCCAAGGTGATGAGGCCTTAGAGAATTACATGAGAGATCTTGTTTAGAAGATGTCCAAGAAACTAAATTCTGTCAGTGGAGCAGTTATAAAACTTGTCTTTTCTTGACCCCTATGGAAAATCTCCTATGGTGACCCTTTACGGAAACAATCTCATCTAGCCTCCAAAATATATACATCCCATATGTGCACATGGCACTTCACAGCAGTCCAAATTTAAATCCAGTAATATACAATGATGACTACAACAAGGGAAGACCAGGCATAGTGGATTAAAAAGGCCAAGGGTTGCAATCATATACCATGTTGTTGTTTCAGTTAGCAATATGCTTTAACAGTTCTCTAAGAGCAAGTCATATATGAGTGACGTGAGGAGTAGGAGGAAGGCCGGTAAAATGGTGAATGTGTCAGAGCAATAGAGATGAAGGGAAGGTGGAGGGAGTGGATAAGGGCACAGGCAGCAAAAGAAAGACAGAAGGATGGTTCTGTAAAAAGGAGAATGTGGTGGGGGAACACAGCGAGGGTAGGATGTGATAAGCCACCAAAACTGAGCAAAGTCAATATGAGAGTTTTAATATTAGTTAACTGGGCTGACTATGGGAAGTTGTGATGGCTTCCTCTTTGCTGCTAGTGCAAGTGCCAGTTGATTCCAGACACCTGAGGCTTTTTGTTGGCTACCCCCTTGAGGGAGAAGGAGGCTGGGAGCTGAGCATGAAATGGAATCATGTTATGTGGATTCCTTCTAGCAATTAAAGGGGAAACAGAAAAGAAATAGGGTACAGTTCAGAGCACATCAGAGGTATATAATTTTTCTCTAACTTTATTTAGTGGCAATAAGCTCAAGATAATGCAGTTCAGAGTCCCGCACAGGATGTATTGGAAGTCTGCATGTCTTTATAGTTGTGCCTTATGAGAACTTGGCATTTGTTAAAGTAATTAGTGCTAGTATGAGACACATTACAAAGACTAGTCCAAAATACAATATAATATTGGGACAGAGTAATGAATATTATTGATGGGATGTGAGGATAAAAATTGCCCCGACCTTCAGTTACTTAATGTACATAAGTTCTTGTTCTGAAGAACACATTTTTACAATGGATGTCCATAGTGTTTTCTAGTGTAAAATAGGAGAAAATTTAGACACAAAACAGTAGCAACATGGAGAGACTGATACAGTAGATCAGTAGTTCTCAACCAGGGGTCCAAGGCCCCCTAGGGGGCCTTGAGCAGGTTTCAGGGGGCCTTCAAGCAGGGCCAGCATTAGATTTCCTGGGACGCAGGGCAGAAAGCTGAAATCCCACTGCATGGGGCTGAAGCCCAGGGTCCTGAGCCCTGTCACCCGGGGTTGAAGCTGAAGCCTGAGCAGTGTAGCTTCATGGGGGCCCCTGAGGCATGGGGCCCCAGGCAACTTCCCCTGCTTGTTACCCCCTAACGCTGCCCTGGCTTTTATATGCAGAAAACCAGTTATTGCGGCACAGGTGGGCCGTGGAGTTTTTATAGAATGTTGGGGGACCTCAGAAAGAAAAAGGCTGAGAACCCCTGCAGTAGATGACAAAGCAAGTCTCTTAACATGTGTCATATCCTGAGAACATGATGATTCACCACACTTTAAAGCAATATTAATGTTATAGATGAGAAATCGTTTTACACTACAGTAAATAATTGCTACATGGGTTATGATGCATTAGATGAAATGATGTAACTCAAATATTCTTATTTATCTTGTTTCTTGTTTATCTTATGTTTCACTTTCCTTTTTTTGTATGTAGGCTTTTCTTTATTTGTTTGCAGTTGGAAAGGCATAACCCGTAGATACAGTCCACCAAGCCCAGATTTTCATAACTGTGTATGAGCAAATACATGTCCAATTTGCACCCACAGTTATTGTGCTTACATGTGCAGTTGCACTAATGACATGTACAAATATCAATATGTTAAAAAATGCACAGTTCTGAAAATCTGGGTCTTAATTGCTGCCTTCTGAGTACATGTCAAGGTGTATAATAATATTTCTTTATTAATTTGCATTTGCTATCCAGACATTGGTGTGCCTGTGGCCTAGTGGACATAATATCTGCATGAGAAAAAATATATTTTAAAAAAGTATATTTTTGAACATTTTCTTTTTTCTATAAAATCCAGAACCATCTTTTCCAATGAGAAGAGGACAAAAGGCTGCAGAAAATAGCCTGAATTTATTGAATCCTAATCACTGATGTTATACTGTCCTACGAGGCATCCTCTCATAAATCACTCTTGATCTTCCTTGTTTTGTTAGCTGCAAAGGGTTTATTTATACCAATGGCATCACTATCCTCTCTACAGTGGGTAAGTGTTTGTCTTTTCTTTTCAATCTATAGTTTCATTGAAGGCAGCAAGACCTAGTTTTAGACTTTCCATCTTTTTATAAGCTTCTGATTATTGCAGTCAGTACTGAAAAATTTACATTTTACTCATTCCCCACATCTCTGCATGGAGAAATATAACTTTTTAATTGGCCCCACTGCAAGGTGTCAGGTTGATTTAAAGGTGGCCAGCTTATTTCAAAGATTCCTACAGGAGGAAATAAAAGCAGATGTCAGACTCAAGACAAACAGGTTGGCCTGACCATTTCTTTCCCTCCTGGGAGAAGGCTGCTTACCACATTAACATATATGCAAAATAACACATTGCCAGAGGTCCTAAAATCTTAGACATGGATGTAACATACCAAATACTGTTTTATTTCCCTCACTTCTCATCATGTTTCACATAAGAACCAAAATCTCTAACACATTTATCACTATCAGGGCAGTTAAGTTACTGAAGAAAGTCAGTTTTGTGGCTTTACAGGAATGTAAATTGGCATTTTCAAAGGCTAATATGGGATTTAGCTACACAGCTCCTACTGAAACTAATGGGATGTGTCCCAGAAACCTGAGTCTATATTGGCTGCTTGTACAGTTAAAGAGAAAAGGAAAACAAGACCCTAAATACTATTATGGTGGGATTTGGCACTCCTGATAAGCCAGACTCCTGAGTTCTGATTAAATGTTACCAGGAGTTCAGGTAAATAATTAAAAAAAACCAAACCAACCCCCACAACTCTATTCCCAAGGCAGGGAACACGGGCTTTACCTCCACTGACCTAGAATGTGGGATATATACAGCAGAATATTCATTTTCAACTCCTCATCTCCTGCAGGGCTGTCCATAGCTAGGCATTACTGACCAGCCCAACTGTACTTTTAAAGGTTGTCATTTTACATGTGCTTATGCAGAACAGAGTTTTCAACAGCTTTTTCCCATTGTATTTTTGCAACAAGGACTTTTTGGGGGCACACTTGTCCCACTTTGAGTGATCTTAGAATATTTTAAACTCAGATTGTTCTTACCAGATAGCACAGGCTCCAGGGCCCAAATTAACTATTGGTTGAAGTCAGCAGAATTGCATGCTCCAACATTGAATTAGTCACCTCGTGTGAGTCTCACGGGCATTAGCTAAACTCCCATAGTGATGACAATATTATGATGTAACAAGGGTTTCTTTTGGGATTAGGCAGTTCAGAACTCTAGGAAGAAATCTACAGGTGGGATTTTCAAAAGCACTCAGCACTGGCCTAATTCTGCTCCCCCTAACTTAATGGTGCAGCTGAGCACTCTTGAAAACTCTACCCTACATCTTTCTTACAACCATTAAATTGTGGAGTTGCATAATGAACGTATTGACGCAGAACTGAAGAGATGATTCCCCTTGATATAGGCAGCAGTTGTTTTAAGGGCCAAATTCAACTTTGGTATAGCTCCATTGACTCCAGAAGAGGTAATGCTCTTTCACCAGTGCTCTTCAAGCTCAAGTGAATCATATCTACTATTTATTTTAAAGTGACTCTTGTATAATAGTCAGAACAAGCACTGCGGATCTATAGTGTGCTATGAATATATTTGCAATATTGAGATGTTTTTGCAGCGTTGCCCTTTAAGACATAGCAAACATCTACCTGATATGTTTCTATAGGCTTCGTTTCCATGTTCAGATCCCAAACTTTGACAGTGAGGTAATCCCTTGTTAGCATATATCGGCCACTGTGACTGAATTTAACATCCGACACTGAAGAGATAATTTCTGAAAAAAACGATCTGTTACTGGGGTCTTCTGGTTCTTCAAAAACTGTGTTTTTTTAAAAAAAAGAGAGAAAAAGAAATTAGAATATCATAAAAATGTTTCTTTATACAATTCTTTATTATGTGCTTCTCTATAGAAATAATATGGTTAAAGGTACAAATCCATACCATATAACATGAATGATATGGCTGTTAATTTCTTCATGATATCTTTAAATAAGAATACAAGATTCACATTTTAGAACATGGGCTTTGCCAGTTTTGGAGGAAGCAAATGTGATGGCTCAGTTAAATGGACTACAGATGATGTCAGTTTAGAATTGAGTAACAATGATAGCTTAGAATTATCATTTATTGTTTGTATTACACTAGTGCTTAGGAGCCCCCGTCATGGACCAGACCCCATTGTTTTAGGTGCTGTATAAACACAACAAAAAAAGACAGTCCCTGCCCTAAAGAGCTTATAATGTGATTAAGTGTGTGTGGTGCCTTTCATTCAGCATGATCCCAGACTATATACAAAACTATACTCATAAGAATCATTTCATCCACCAATGAAGTACAACCACCTCTGTGTTTAAAGACAGCAGCCGTTGAAACTCTTTTTGTTTTGTACAGCCCTATGAAAAAGCTGAGGACAGGAAATGAAACAAATTTTCCATTTAAAACTGGTGAGGGAAGGTTATGTATTAAATGGAAATTAGTCACGATCCTGCAAAATGCGACAAGGGATCGTTCATGCCCACAAGAAGTCAAGAACAGCGTTGTGCAAATAACTGACTTTTCAGTTCACTGGCCAAGTCAAAAACTAAAACTGAACTGTTTTGGGTCAACCCAAAATGATTTTTAATTTTTTGGCAAACCAAAAAGTAAAAGAAACAAAATGTTTTGGGTAAATCAAATGAAACAAAATGTTTTTTCATTTGACCAATTTTAACTTTTTTTTTTTAAATTGCAGCAACTTTCAAAACTAACTTTTTTAAAAAAAAAAGGAAATTAATTTCAAAACTGTCAAAACAATTTTTTTTGACTGAAACAATCTTGTGAATTTGACATACTTTGGCAAAATGTTTTGGTTGACTCAAATCTGCATTTTGGCAAAAAAAAAAAAAAAAAGTTTATCCAAAAACCACTGCCCAGCTCTAGTCAAGAACTTCATTTTACGAAATATCTCTAGAAGTAGAGGTCCCTCATGACATGATGGGATCAGCTGGTTCAGTAGTGACACAGTTAGTGAATCGCCATCGCTATTCTTACACCTTGTTTGTCCTGGGAGGGCTTCCATCCCATTACTGACCAGCTGCAACCCTGCTTACACTGGGAGATGTATATATTATTAATGATTTTTTTCGTAAGAAAAAAGTCCTCTGCATCCTCTGCCAAGGAACTTGGGGTGCTGTACAATATAATAAAACATTAATTATGGCTGAGATTTTCAAAGAAGCCTAAGGGAGGGAGGTACTCAACACTTATGAAAATGGCCTCTCTGAAAAATTCTGACCTAAAATGAAGAGTTAAAATTAGTTAAATATAGTATATGCTACAGTGTACAACAATAATAATGCACTCAGGCTTTTAATCTGAAGGGTTCAACATTTTTCAAAAGGAGAATTATCATCCCTATTTCACAGATACAAAAACTGAAGACTTGTAGCTAACAATAAAATATCAGGTATATTTCAGATATCAACATGAAATAGAAATATTAATTAATGTTGTAACACAGGGCCTACAGGCCTCAGGTCTGTAAGACAATAGCTTAGCTAAACTGAGGCCTAAGGCCTAGAGCAGTGGTTCTCAGACTTTTGTACTGGTGACCCCTTTCACATAGTGCAACCCCCCGCTTATAAGTGAAAAACACTTTTTAATATATTTAACACCATTATAAAAGCTGGAGGCAAAGTAGGATTTGGTGTGGAGGCTGACAGCTTGTGACCCCCCCCATGTAATAACCTTGAGACTCCCTGAGGGGTCCCAACCCCCAGTTTGAGAACCCCTGGCCTAGAGACTTGACAGAAGCAACTATCTAGTAAGTGATCCCAGATCATAAGTTGTCACAAGATGTCATAAGACAGAATATTGCATTAAGCAAGTGTTGCTAAACTGCTGATATTTAGGAAACGTATATTGCAATGTACCAGTTAAAGCCGGTTAGAATATTGTGGAGATTTTTGCAAACATAGGAAATCAGCAATGTGCCAACCACAAGTTGTTATAGTGATTGAGTGACATAAATGTTAATGAGTACAAAGAGAACTAATAGCCCAAGCACCCATCAGGGTCTCCTGACTCCCAGCCCCCTTTGCTAACCACTTAACCATACTTTTTCTGCATGTTAAGTTCACAGTCTGAGATGAGATGAGATGTCTGCAAGTAACTGAGGGAAAGAGTTTACTAAGTATTTAGATAAGTAAAGTGGCTTTCTCCCCCACCTCACCCTTAAAGCAAAAGAATTAAAATGCATTTATGTGTGATTACTTTTTGTAGTCCACCAAGAATTTACTTCTCAACAAAATTCAAAGGATCTAAGTTACAGCTTCAGAGAATCAAAATAATGTCACGCTGAAAAATAAGAGAGCTGACTGACTGTGGGTTAACTCAGAAAATGATGGGCAACTTCCTTTGCGGATGGTGCGTCAAATGCAGCCATGCTTGCACATGAGAATAGACTCTCTATATTTAAACACATACAACAAATCTAAATGATAATTAACTACATCAAAAGAGAAAAGAAAGAAAGAAAAAACTTTTCAGCTTGAGAGTAAACGAACACCTTTAAACAGCTCTCTGAAAATGTGCGGAGACATTCAGTAAGGTAGATATTTTGTAATTATCCTGTCAAGTTTTCAATAGAAGTCTGATGAGCACAAAGCAATTATCATCTCTCACACCTCTTCCCTTTAATCTGTCCAAACCGTGTATTGTGAATGGCAGGAATTTCATCCTCCTAATTATGATGTAAAGTTGTTATTAAAACCAGGAAAGAAAAAAGCCACTAAAATGCTCTTTCATTTATGGCAGTGATGAGTTTTCTCCGTGCTTCTCAGCTTACAAGCTCTACAGTTCTGGCTGAGTTCTGCTAATGATTTCAAGAGGAGTTAGATCAGAACTGGTGTGCTCTCTATTTCATTACATAGTCATAATGGTCATGTACAATAGTGGCCCTGATTTAAGGGAAATACTTAGGGTTCTCTCATCATCTACAGTATTCCCTGTTTTCCTATATTTACTACAGTAAATACCTTGAATACTATAAATCATGAGGTTATTTATCTGAGAATATTGATTGAGGTATTAAAGTCAAGGTTCACTACCTTTTTTAAAAGGTATTTTCTTTATATGAGAGAAAATGGAATTTAGTAGCCCTGCTCTGCTGTAAGCAACTCCTTTAAACAGAGTAGCTAGCCCCAGGAAGATCATCTCAGTGTAGGGAGCATCTTTGGGTGGTTTTGTGATCTCTATAACACCCCTGTGTGCAGCGGATATAAGAGACATGCTAGGGGAAAGAGGAGTAGCTAGGACATACCAACACACTGAGCATCTCTGCCTGCTATATTAGTTTGCTGGAGTCATTATCATCCGTGTAAGGTAATTCACATTGGAAGACCAGTAGCCCAGGATCAAGAGAGTGCAAAGCTGCCTCATTAAACTGGGAATTGGAAACAGAGTTTTGCTGAAAGCTGCTTAAAAACCAAGTTATAGTTCTCTAGCAACTACTAAATAACTTTGATAACTTCTAACTGTCTACCTTCAGTTATGAAAAAATGGATTTCATACTCCAAATGCAATTGTCCCTTCTCAATGTTAATTAGATCAAAATGCCAACGCTAATTGTCCAAATGCAAACCATTGCACAAGCTGATGAACACAATCATCAGTAATCGTGTGTCATTTGAATTTTCATTTAACAGTACCTAGATTTAAATATGGTCTTGATGGTAGAGGCAGTGCTATCATTAGCTATGAACTAATCTGATGCAGTTATTTGTTTCACACAAGTTACAGCAAATCAATATATTTTTACAAAAGTTTGATTTCCTATCTTTGTGACTCTGTAGGTTTAAACTCAATAACTTCCCACTTCTTTCTTTTGTTTCTACCCTACTAATCTCAATGCCTGACACAGTGGAGAGGACCATATGCAGGAACAAGTAGGGAAAACAGCATGTACAAGGGAGATCAGTGGCTCTGTAGAATAATCCCCCATCTGTCAGGCTCTGCAGCTTATAAGGGAGCTGTTATGTGAAAATGATAAAGAATGACAGAGAAAGTTACCTTCTTCTAACACTTTCCAAGGACTTTATTAGAATAAACAAAGAACATTAGCCCTTAAATTTTGCTTCACTGCAGAACTTCCACCTTGAACCTCTTCTAGCCCCCCTCTGAGCTCCCTGGCTTCTTGCTACAGATTTAAAAACAGTACCTATTTTCACAGAAAAATGTCTGAGTGCGGAAAGGGGAAAGATTGGGTTGATGGATGTGCTCCAGAATATTGCTCCCCTACAGCTTGTAGACAATTTGCAGCCTAAAATCATATTGCTTCCTTCTAAGAAAAATCTGAAGGAAACTCCATGAGTTGAAATCCAGATTTCTTTGCCTTTCCATAGGTTTCTTAATGTAGGAGAGGAGGAGACAATACAGGTCAGTGTGTGTAACATAATACCTCTGTAGCTTGCCTTTCCACCATTTTAACTTGGGCCTGATTTTGCAACTCCTTACTCACATGTCGGTGGGCTTACTCATATGAATAGGGACAGCCTGTGCTGGTAGTGTTTGCAGGATCAAAATCTACAGAGGCAGCAGTTTTGTCAACAATACACATTGTTATTCAGTCAGACTGATACTCATTTTGAATGCAATATCACTGCTATGTTGATAACATACTAATTTACTTTATCAAGACAATTTTAAATACATACAATCATCATTAGTTACATGATCACATACTATTTCTTAAACTATATAATATATGACAAGTTTTTTTCCCTACATCCGTGTAAGTCGCATCATCTAAAGTGCATAGTGAACGAGACACTAGTGCTGTAT